ATTATGAGTGAGCTGACCTGTGATGGAGACCAGGTTCACACGGAAAACAGCTGGCAACGAAGAATTTGTCAGCTAAACCCCAAATGGGCCAGAGCTCTCAGCCCTTGAAGACGTAGGTCCCTAATGGATCAATGAAATTTCAACACAGAATCCTTTCACAAAAGCACATGTATAATCTCTGAATTGCAAGCATTGCAAATCCAGTGTTCTTGGCATCTGGGATTGACATCTTCCTGACACAAAGCCATCAGGTAAATTGTGATCCTTACTGGCTTTCTGATCATATGGAGATTTGTGAATATGATAAACAGCCTTAAAGAAATAGCCCAGTGACTGATGCATTAAGGTGAGCTGTCTGAAATGAGGAGGCCAAGAAGTATCTCTTTGAACCTTAATGCAACAGTCAACCTTGTCTGTGAAAACTCCACTGTATTAAACAGGATTTTCCTCACATATAAAGCCACCCTGGAAGTGTGGACACCTAATCAGATGATATACTATGTGAATCAGCCCATCTAGAACTCTAAAGACACAAGTACATAAAGCAACTAAATGCTGAGGCTTATCTGAAGGACAGATTCTATGGAAGTTTCCGCTGTGTTCAAATAGAGCGTGGAGGAAGCCCCATCAGTCTAATGAACAGGAGCCTCAAAACAGTGTTGACAGATGCATGAAAATGCCATTACCTAATACAAACTTTTGCCTACCACCTACACACTTGTGGGACCCTAAAGTGACTTTTTGTTCTCTGCTGTCTATAGATGCAGAGGGAGTTTGGATTAGTCATGCACACGTTAGTGAGTATGAATAATGATGCTAACAGTTTTGAGAAGTGCATAAATAATAACCTAACCCAATCCACACTGTGGAGGAGGATGGTAATGGGGCTTATTAACGAGGGGCCGGCTTATTTTGTTCTAAAAAGAGAAAGAACATTTGGCTAGCAATTTCACTTAACTTGAAAGCAACGTATCCTCAAAACCATTAATGAAATACACCTCAGGGTACCCAGTAGAACATTACAGCATCATTAAAAGGTATGGTTTCTTGGCAAGTAAGACCATAATGAAGGAAGATGCCAGGCAGAACATTCTCTAGAACTTCTTCCCCAGTTTAGTGGATGGAGTAGGTGTGGATGTTCAAAGGCCCAATTTGGTAGAGTTAAAAGCATTCTGACTTTGGAGGTGGAAGACTTGCATTTCTGGTGCTAGCCCTGTCTCAGAGATCTGTGAAAGCCTTCTGTAACTTCTAAGACCCTTTTAGGCCTATTTCATCATCTGAAAAGTCTGGAAATGCTTCTCCACATGGATATTTTTCACTGCAGTTCCAGACTTTGAAGGCATATTCAACCCACCACATAAAGCACTGAGTGCTGAGAAGTAAACATGACTCCACGTCACTGTGATGATTTTGCCTTGCTTCACACCCAGCCTTCTAGGGGTGGGCAGGATTCTTGTAAGAGACTAAGAACCATTTCCAAAAAAAAATCAGTTAGGCTAGGCAGAATGTTTTCCATTGGTGTGGGTGTTGAATTCTTTCAGGGTATTCAGTGGTTGTGTTCAGGGGATTGGAGTCAGCCGGACCTGGGTTTGAATCCTGACTCCATTTCTTACTAGCTGTGTGATGCTGGCAACTGCATTGAACTCTCTGTTCAAGACATCCCTACCCTTTAGGGTTATTTTGAGGATTAAGTAAGATAATGTATGTAAAAGGTTTCAACATAGCTCCTGACCCGTAGTAACTCTATTTATTGAGCACTGGCGATTATTATCCATATGACTGACAGTTACAGAGCTTCTGCTGTGTGCCAACTGCTAGGCTAGAGCTGAGATACCATGGAGAATGAATCATCACCTCTGGGGTGAAAGAATCTCACAATTAAGAGAGGGAAAAGGACACATACATGGGCAAAGAAAGCACAGAATGAAAATTGATAGCCCAGAGTGCCACGGGAGCACATGGGAGGGCCCCCCAGTCTAGCCTCGAGGCAACAGAGGAAGCTTCCTGGAGGAGACACCATCTCCCCCGAGACCTGAAGGACGCTCAGGAGCTGTTTAACTCTAGTTGGGTAAACCAAGCTCTCTGAGCTGCTGCGGGGCTATTTTCCCTCCCCTGCGGATGGTAAGACCCAAGGCACTGCAAGCTCCGAGGTACGTTCTTTCAAAATTCCTTGTGTTCCCAGAGTTGGGGGGGAGGGAGCATATTGGGGAAAATTGCTTTTTTGTGTGCATGTGTGTGTGTTCAAATTATAGTTTTTTGAGAAAAATAAGGCAATCTGCCAAGAGTATTATTGACCCTTGTAAAGTCCAAGCAGAGAAATTAGCTTTCATTTCTTTTCCTTTGCCTCATCTTTTGTCAGTTCCTGCCGCCACTACCACCACCATCATCCTCATCATCATTCTGATCTATTTCAGGTGCTTTGCAGGGAGGTTGTGGGCAAAGCCAGGGCTGGGGGAGGCGGTCACAGTGGAAAGCACTGTGTGAAGGAAGGAGAGCACACTACACGGCGTTTCTCTCCCCTCCCTGACTCTACAAGCCTCCTACTCCTATTTATATCACTAGTTCCCAGTCATTCTTAGCCTGGCATTGAGGGTTAAATAGCTTGGATTTTTACCATCGATACTCTGGCCAAGAGGGGGAGTGTTGTCAGAACCGGGGCCCTCCTGGGCTGATGAAAGTGTGGTCACTGCTAGAATCCACTCTATATCCACACCGGAGCTGACCCTTCACATGCCCCCGGAGAACCAGGGTCCTGGCGGTGTCTGCTCATGCCAGGCTCTGAACTCCAATCTATTCACCTCCGAGAAGGCTGCTGAGCTGATGCTGCTCCTATTCTTGCCAGTCAATTGGACCCACACTGTAGTGTTTTATTTAGAGACTTCTTTAAAGTCCAGCAATGATTGAATAGCTGCTTCCAGTTTTTCTGATGGCTGATGATGGCAGGTGGTGAGGGTGGAGCTGTAAGAACTATCCTCTGTCTGTTACCACATCTTCCAGCTCTTTGGGGAGTGCTGAGAAATGCCAGATGGACAAGACAGGGGTGACCAACAGACACACTCTCTGACTTGTGTCACCAAGGTGCTCAGGACTGGCTAGTCTTTCTCCCTTGGAGACCCCACCTTGTTCATTTTGAGGTATCAGGGTTGCCTGGCCCACAGGGCAGGGTTTGGGGGGATGCTGCCGCCTTCACAGAGGGCTGGGGGGTGACAAGGGAGCAAGCTGGCAGGGACCTCCCTCAACTGTGCCTTTCTCACCCTGCTCCCTCCAGGAGTGGCCGGGCTGACCTGGCGGCCATATACCATGAGCGCATCGATGTGGAAGGCCACCACTATGGCCCTTCATCACCTCAGAGAAAAAACGCCCTGAAGGCTGTGGACACCATTCTGAAGTACATGACCAAGTGGATCCAGGTGACTCAAGCAAGGACAACTGGTCTGACCTTCTCTTCCTGTCACTCTTTTTGTCTCCTTCACTGTCACTCCCCTCACCGTCTTCCTCTTACTGTTGATCGCTGACCAGGCCAGCACAGGGCGCCGATGAGTCCCTTCTTCAACATCACACCTCTTGAGGTACCAAGAGGCCCCTTGTGCTGCAGCCAGGCCAGCGGGATTGAAATGACCTAGACGTGCACGATCACCTGCTTAGCTGGAGAGGTAGCCCGGTGCTTCAGAATCCCAACACATGTGGTAACCAGCATGGCACAGACGTGGAAGCCAGACCCGGGTTCCACCCCTAAGTCTGCCACTCACTTGCTGAATGACTTAAAGCAAGTTTTATTTTTTTAATGTTTCTGTGCTTTATTTTTTTATATCTGTAATATGGGCAGTTGCCACACAAGATTGTTCAAAGAGCAAAGAAGGTGAAAACAGAGCGTACTTTAGAAAGCTGGAAGCTCTATGCCATTTTCAGCCTGTATCGGAATGGGAACCAGGCCTTTGCCTTCCCTGCCCCAGGGGCTTCTGTTGGGATTTTGGACTGTGTCTCATCGGGGCAGAATAGTAGATGATTAAATTCAGATTTGAGAAAATGCCCTTTCTTCTATTGTCTGTTGTTTAAAATCGTCCCTTCACAAGATTTTCTGGGTGTGAGAGCGTCTCTCTCTCGGGGCTGTACTGACTGCGTTTGCCCACCCCACAGGAGCGGGGCCTGCAGGATGACCTGAACGTCATCCTTTTCTCCGATCATGGGATGACTGACATTTTCTGGATGGACAAAGTGATCGAGCTAAATGCGTACATCAGCCTGAATGACGTGCAGCAAGTGAAGGACCGGGGGCCTGTTGTGAGCCTCTGGCCAGCCCCTGGCAGACACTCCGAGGCAAGCATCCTCCTTCACCCCTGCTTCGTGCCTTATCCTTCTCTCGTAGTTTCAGTACCAGCATAGAGAGTGCGTTGGGAGCTGGGACTCTGGAGGCAGGTGACGTCGTTTGTCACTCACTCACTGAGTGACCTCTGTCAAATTGTTCATCCTCCCTGTCTCTGTTTTTTCTTCTTTAAAGTGTGCATAATGGTACCTACCTCATTGAATTTCATGAAAATTTAATGAGGTAAAGGATGTGCAGGGCTTATCAAGTGTCTAACACAGGTAGACAAGGTCTTACTCAGACATTTTTTTTTAAACATAATTGATGATGCATGTTTGTGGGGTACAGAATTGAATATCAACACCAGTGTACAATGTGTGATGATCAATACAGGATAATTAGCATATTTGTCATTACAAAACATAATCATTCTTTATGTCCATTAACCAATTTCTCATTAACGTCCCTCCCCCTCTCCCTTTCCCACCTCTAGTAACCACAGTTCTGTTCTCTCCTTCTGAAAGTTCAACTTTTTATTGTGATTGTTATTTGTTTCTTTGTTTCTTTCTTTTATTTATTTTTTAGCTCCCACTTATGAGTGAGGACATGTGGTATTTCTCTTTCTGTGCC